CGTCCCCTGGCGGACACCCTGTGGCTGATAAACCAAAGGACAGTCAGAGGAACCTTAACCGGAGTGCATTTTTATTGTGGGCAAGGTAATTTCGTTTATTTAGGTGGAAAGGGATTACAATTGTATTCTTCTTGATACTGGAGTTTAGAAAACAGTGGATATTTGAAATGAGAGAACTGTGGGTATCTGATAAAATTACTTCACTTTTATTTTGACCAATCTACGAACTAGCCTACTCACTATTATCGGAGGGAGTACGGGTAGGAAGGGCGACGGTGCTTCTGCTATAAGTGTGCACAAATCGAGGTCAAATCGAGTTTCTTTTAAAACGTTATACTTTTTTAGAAACTACACCGGTAATATCAAATTATCATTGCGCAATGAATTTCATTATTTGAAGGTGACGTTCATAAATTGAAAGACCGTACTGGGGTAAGGCCTAATTATTAAGGGGCTGCAAATTTTTAGTGCATCTCACATAACGAAAAAGCAAATCTGCCACATTTGGAATTCATAAGTTTTCTTTGGTGGACTATGTAGTTGTCTTCGTGTCATCTTAGTGAGCGCCGCTCTAAGTTCGAGCAAGGGTATCCGGCCAGTAGCGATGAGCTGGTCGATCTACTTCTTGAGCGGAAGTGGTGCGCCACGGAAGACAGCGAGAAAGCCCCGTATGTTGATCGGGCAAGACAAGCCCTGGGAGAACCTGTTGAACCCACCGCTTCACCACTGGGCAAGAGAAAGAAACGTATGTTTATAATGTTACTCACTGCAACTGTGAAAAGAAGGCTGCTCTTATTGAGATCGAAACGCTTCTTAGCAAATGGTAACGAGTTCCTATTATTTCAAACCATTATATCCAAGATGTCAGAATGGAAAAGAAAAAAAGTTGGGTTTATGAAATATAAAAAATTACAGTATTTTAATATTTTCACATTGTATTCAGGAAAAAAGATCATAAAGAAAACGCCTCAGAAATCAGTGCGCCTATCAACCGATTCCCAAACTACAAACAGATGCCCGGGAAAATGCCCAAAGAGCCATGACAATCCTGCGCCAGTCTCACAACCACTGGAGTCAGCAGCAGCATGTCCTGACACGGATGACGGACAGACCACCACAGGCCCCGACCCTCCCTCTGTTTCCTCAGGCTCCTCGCTGCAAGATGATTCCACGATAAAAAGTTCCCGTAAAAACGAGCAGCTAGATCCATTTTTCCGGCTATCAGTAAGGGAGCAGTATAAAGTGATTGAGCAAAAGTTACAACGACTTCGGCGGTACCTTCAGAAGGACGAGTATGACCAAATCATAGCCGACTTCAAACAGGACTACAGCAAGGCCAAACAACAACTGGTTCCAGAGAGAGGCGTCCCGCTGGGCAGGTGCACGAGGGAGTATCTTGACGAGGTCTCGAGGAACCTCCTCTACTACAAGATACTAGAGCTGGAGCCCAGAGTGTGCGAAATCAAATTCTTAAAGTATGTAGTTCTGAAAATGAACTTCGGTGGATTAAATTCATTGTTTTAACTAATGAAATCGTAGCAGAGAGTTCTCGTAATCAACCAAAAGCGTGGGGTTTGATCAGTTGAAAAAGCCTGGCTGTATGTCCTTATTATACACGTTTCATCATTTTATTTTTTCTTAGGCTGGAGAACCATCTGGACAGTCTGTTGAACCTTATCAAGCCGGCTGAGGCTCGAGGAACGCCAGGACAAACGGAACAGGAACAAACTTATGTTGATCTTTTATCCGTCCTAGAAACAGACCTGCAAAAAGTTTCTTTATCCGCCCAACACAAACCAAAACCTCATCGAACATCCAGTATGGAGAACATTTTGTCAGAGCTCAAGAAAACAGAGATGGGGGTGTCTTTCCCCTGCCCCTCCATCCTAGGAGGCGGTTCAAACATTGACACAAGCGCTGGCGGTGTTGGTATAACTGGCGCTTCTAACAGAGGCAAGGCTCTACTGGTCGCCACACCGAGTGCCATTGGTGCAGCTCTGGGTTCGGACAAAGGTTTGACAATGGACCCCACAGGTGCGGTACCCCACACCTCATGTTCTGATGTCATACCGCTGTCCTCTGAGCAGCTGCCACTTCAGTGTACCTGCAGTGAGCCCCTCCCGTTAATAGAGCAACATGTCTTAGACGAGCAACTCCGCGCAGTGGGAGGTGGACAAGAAAATTCACCGCAACGACGGCGGTCGGACACAGAAATTTACCGTAGTTCCGCAGCTGAGAGTCACTTTATCCACTTGGGCTATTTCTCCTCCAAAAGTTGCCTGTCTTTGGCCGGAACTGGTTTTCACTCACTCCGGTGTGGCGAAGAATGTGGCACCAAGACCTCGGACGCAATGAATGGATCGTGTAACAGAATTTATTTCTCCGGCACGACTGCTAAACCAATGCGTTCTTCGAGAGAAGTTGGAAACAATGTTTTCCCAGCAGATTCATCATCAACATCAGCTTCGTTCTTTAAAACTCCCATGGAATACATGTCTTCGGCGTGTCATTTAACACAGAAGATCACGCCTGACACAAAGTCTAACCAAATTGAGACAGCGTCCTCCGACATAATAAGTAGAGTGTGCAACCACCCCGGGCGTAGCTCCGACGTGGATAGCGTAACGTCGGGTGAGTCGAGCGTCAGTAGTGTAATCTTGTCAATTGCAGACAAATGTATAGGAGCTGGGTTTAGTAATTCAACCACAGAAGCTAAGACCCCTGAACGCTGAGTAAATATAATTTAATAAAGCTAAGCACTTCTAGGGCTCTGTCTGATTGCATATGGTTACTGCATAAAATAGAACTTGAATATGTGTGAAATAAACTTTCGAGAAAGTGACATTTTTTAATTACAAGATTAAACACATTTCATCTTAAACGATTACCAGTAAATAAATTCCAACATTAAAGCAATAATAACTCTTCGTTTCTGCCAAAAAATGAATTTTCCTGGAGTAAACAACAATTTTCCCATACTTACCAATGGTTAATGAATCCATTTTTATATTCAAAGTTAGTCCCTGGTTTTTTTCTTAAAAGTTTGGGTTTTTGTTAAAATCTCTTAAGAGATTTTAACAGAGTATAGACATCAATGGAGGTCACATGGTCTAAAGACAAGTTCAAATATCAGAATAAAAGCTATAACTGCTGTTTTTGTGGTAAAACAGAATATATAATATTTCTATAAGTTATTCACAAGGTTTTTATTATGAAATATAGATCTCATACGAAGAGTTATTATCCCTTTAAAAATCCTTTTTTCGTTTCACTTTGTAGTTTCAGAGATGCACCAACTAGCGTTCACTCTGATTATGGAAAAATGAACGGGCACTGTTTATATACTTGGTATCCTAAAATGTCCCTAAATAGTTAATGAATTTATACTATGCGCGTTTAGAAATTTCCCAAAGTCACATTTTCATATCTGACCAGAAGGGCTGCAGTTAGTCTGTTTCCTTCTGTACCAGACTGAGACTGATTGGTAGGGACTCGTATTATTTATTATTATACCTGTAATAGGTTGGACAGTGTGAGATGACAAATCTTTCTAATAATAACGAACAGAACAAATTACGTGATAATAAATAAATAAATAAATAAATAAATAAATAAATAACATTCGGAATGAACTAAACGAACTAAAAAATACTTATCTCTATAACAAAATAAGACTAAATTAAAATCTTAAAAAACAAAAACAAACAAGCCAATATTTACCTGCAATAGGTTGGACAGCGTGAGTTAACAAATGTGCCGCCAAATGAGGGAGGGCATGTATTTATAGTAAAACGGACGAATACGAACGACGAACACAAACGAAAAGACACGAAAAGACACGATACATTACCACAATCACACCTCACACTTACACATGTTACACTTCAAAGCTAAAAATGATTCGTGTACTTATAATATCTCAACTACTGTCTATTAATGCATTCTGGACAAAATAGCTCAATCATCATTTAAAAAAAACAAAAAATGCTTATCGACGCCGGTAACATCATAATTTTCCTAGGGAAAAAACACCGCCACATTGACATAAAGACCTTATATACTGTACAGTGGCACCCTGTGGCTTTTTCTGGGCTATTTGTAGTCTAACTTATATTTACTTCTCAAATTTAGGTTAATTGCCGTGGAAGTACCGGTCATAATTAATCACTGACTGTTACTAAGAGAAACCGAAAACGTCAATGAACGCATTAAAAAAAAAAAAAAAAGGTTTACAATCACCCCAATAAAATTTAAAACATGCTCGCAATGCAATGTCTGATTGCCTTGAACTCTTACACAATACCAAGGAGCATATCTGTCTTTAGTGACGGTATTGTTATCAAGCCAGTGAAGCGTTACGTAACAGACTAACTGCAGCTCTTCTGGGCAGATACCTGGCCTAGTTTTAACAAGTTGCAAGCCTGTCAAGTTATCAATTAAAGACAAACAACCCAGTTGGAAGCCAGTCAGCTATTGAACGAAGACAAACAACCGCAGTAACCGTGTAGGTTGTCAGTGGGCTGAAGGCCGGCTACAACTGCCTCTAGTTACATACAACAATCAAAGAACTTTTATTTCTTCAAATTTAACTTTATAAAATATACTATATCAAAATGTATTTTGTTTCCCAAAATGTGTGCGTGTTATTCCTTTTACTTGTCTACATCCATACTTGCGTGGCTGAAAATACGTGGAGTAAGAACAATACGCCTCCTCAGCCTGGCCCTGAAGTAGAACACGTTTTCACACATTCCTTATCTAACAGGTCAGGGTTGAGGTAGCCTTTTCTACAAAGGTGATCGAGGAGTTTAGTTAGGCTCTATAGAAGCATATCGCACTTGCTGCGTCAGGTGGGGTATTTTACCTTAAAAATTATATGTCAGAGAGTAAGCGTCACGTCATTTCACCTACATTGCCAAAATAAAATCGTCACGTTGAGGGACTGAGTTTCTATTTTTATTTACTGACCTAAATATTTCCTTCAAAGCATTTGGTTTAAGCCGGTTGGAGCAAGTAGGAGAATGGGGGTGTGTACTGGATACTGTAATCTGATTGGTTATTTTTAGGTCATTGCGTAAACAATGGCTTTGCCTTCGAAAACACCAAAACAAATGAATCACAAGTGAAAACTAAGAAGAGAGAAAAAGACGTATCTATAGACTGAGGGAAAGTGAAGAGCACAGGTAAGTGTACGTATGTCTACCTGAGGAAGTCGTTTACAATCCTTAGTCATCCATTTTACCTGTACGTGTATGTGCTTCGTCAGTACTAGAGCCTTTACGTGCATGTAAACAGGAGTTTGTTGTTTATTTTCCGATATAGATAAATATGAATCACAGAGCGACTGCTACATGGAGAGGGAAGTGAGGACTGTTTTCTTTAATTTTTTTTCAAGACATCGACGATCGAGTCGGAACAAATAATGCTAA